GTTATTACTTGGGAAGTACTATGGAGCCAAGACAAAGTGAAGGCTTGAGGCCAGGCAGACTTAAATTATACCTTTGGATTTGCTCCTCAATAACGACATGCCCTGGAGCACAGGCTTACCCTCTCCGTGTCTCAATTTTTCTATCTGTAAAACAGAAGGAATAAATATCTTTCCAAAAATAGCTCTTTACAAAACATATTAAATAAAAGTGTTTTGCAGAGTGCAAGGATAAATGAAGCAGTCAAATATTATTGGTTTTGATTACCATATATAATGATAATGCTTAACCTTCACACAGAACTTTATATTCTTTAGATTATTTACATGACTTATGAAGGAAATAGGTATAATTTCCTTAATCCTTGAACTTTTCAAAATGTGTAATATTTCTCAGATCATGAAAACTTGGGTGAGGATGAGAAAAAACTATTGGAGCATTCAGAAGTGTACTAAATTTCTTTAAAATCATCCTTTCTAAAGCAAGAATAAATATAGTATTATAAAAGAATATTAAATACAGATAAATAAAAAGAAAGATTAAAATATCTCTTAGTTTCACAGAGACCAAAACATAACAAGACTGTTTTGTTACATTTATTTTCTATGTTTTACAATGTGTAATTTTATATAATTATAGCTTTCTTTCCAATAATATACAAATTTTAGTAATATCTGAATGATCATATTTCAATTAAGAAAAAAAATTTTGGAGAAATGTTTTTTTTTTAATTCCTGAAGCCATAAAAAAATGACTTTTTAAAAACTCACTCTAATGACATAGCTTTTGTACAAATTGAATGTTTTGTGATTTTCCTCTGAGATCGCATGTAGTTTGTTTCTTAATAAGAGATTGTTGCTTGTTCTATATGTGTTTATGTATGACAGGGGCTTAGTGAAAACCTCATCCGTTGATGGAAGATATCGCTTCTGGCATCACTGTTGAAAACAGCAAAATCCATAGACTTCTTTTCCCCCCAGAGTTGAGATAGTTTTACTTGATAAAACATAGAAGATGACTGTAGTCTCCTTGTTTCCAAATTATTAATCTCTTCACCTAAGAAATAAGTCAATGGCTTTTGAAGAGATGGAAAACAGGTGGATATTTCAAGATTAGGCAGCAAGAACACTATACTCTATTTACTCATTTACTTTATTGCATTAAACAAAACAAAACAAAACAAGACAAATAACCCTAGAAACATTTCAAATTGATAGGAGAGTAGTGAACAAATAGAGATAGTTTTTGTTTTGTTGTGGAGGGAGGTTGCTGAGCAGTAAAGCAAAAAAAAAAAAAAATGGATTTAAAGCGAAGAGTATCAGTGAACATAAATCTTTGTAAGAAAATATGTTTATGCTATAAAATTATATTTAGCACTCATGTTAGAAATGTACTCATGTCTTGCAAATACTGCTTCTCTCTGCCTAATGTCAGAATTAACTAATAAGTCTGATTGTGTGTGGGGGGAGATGTGTATGAGTGTATGTGTGTGTGTGTGTGTGTGTGTGTGTGTGTGTGTGTGTATGTGTGTTAAATAGCTTAAAGGCAGTCATTTTAATTAAGAAGGAAAAAAATGATTCATGTTGGGAGGTTGAAAGCCATGCAGAAAAATGAGACAAGTGTGTTATTGTTTGAGACAATCCATTGCTTTTGGGTAGCATATATCAACGTACCTCATAGAAATAACGCTGTAATTTTAAAAACCATGGCCACAGAACATCCATTTTCACCGTAAGTTGTGATATCTTATACTTCTAAAAATTTCAATACAAATTAAAATAGCTGATGTTGGCAGCTGCCTACTGCATATGTACTTTGTGCCAGTTAGTGAGCTAGTCTCTGTGTCATTACAGTTACTTCCATTAGCTTCACTTTACAGAAAAAGTTAAGGGTTGAGGGGTTAAACACATTTCAGAGAATTGCTTTGGCTATTTATTTCAATGTCTGGTTTGGATGGCAGCCTATTAAGTAATAGTGAACAACTTCCTTCCTATCTCTAAGACTCATTTCAAATCTTAAATCAGGATAACATGATGTCTGACTCAATGTTGATGTAAGGATCAAAAGTCTCAGGCACTTGATAAGCCCTCATGCCATGTTGGCTCTGAGAGTTGTGCCTTCTGCACATGAAAATTCTCAATAAATGGCCATGTTTTATTTGGGTGATATGGTCAGTAACTGGAGTAGATTTCTTTTTTCCCTTTTTATACCCTATGTCAAGCAAACTCTACTAGATTTACCTACATATTACAATCCTTTCCACCTCTACCATCCTGGTTCAAATCCCAGTCATCTTTCAGCAGGATCATCACAGTGACATCCTAGCTAGCCACACAGCACTCTTCAGTCAGAGGTCAGATATATCCCTTGGACATCTAAGTCAGATCACACTGTGCAAAACCACCCACTGCTGTGCTTATCACTGGAAGTCATGCTCCTTCCAATAACCTACAAAGCCCTGCGAGATCTGCCCTCAGCCCCAGCCAAGTGGCCCCTACTCACAATTACTAAGCCTAATCCTTCCTTGGGGATTTTCCCTTGGTGCCATCTGGAGCCGTCTTTTGGATTCCTTCTTGGCTCATTCCTTACTCCCTTCCAGTCTGGTTATGTATTCCCTTTCAAGGAAGCCTCCTCTACCAGACCCTATGCTTCAATTACCCTGCTTTATTTTTCTGATAGCAGAGGTTACAATCTGGCAAAATATATCATTCCTGTTTTTCATTTGCCATTCTCTTGTCTCTCTCTACCAGGACATAAAACAAGAGTGCATTTATATTTTTCAATGCTATATTTCTATGAGATATATAGCTGATAATTAAAAATATTTGGAAATGACCATAAAAAGTAATTATTAAACAGAACTTAAAACTATATTGCTGGGAATAGCAAGGATAGTGGAAGGAGACGCTCATCATTATAAAAAATTCATGTATGAAGATGTGAATTTGGTGTCGACATACTTTATATACAAACATAGATTTGATAAATTGTGGTATAAAGGTGTATTAAGAATTGCAATGCAAAAAAATATGAATGTAATGCACTCCTCTATTGTAATGTATGTAAGAAATAATAAAAAAAATAAAAAATTTAAAAAAACTATATTGCTTTAGGCAGCCTTTTCCCTCCACATACACATACCTCTCTGTGGTGGGAGTGGAGTTGACAGGTTCATAAAAATGCTCTTTAATACCATATTTTATATCTGTTTGACTTAAAATGAAAAAAATTCAAAATATAGAAAAACAGAAAAATCTGTAGTGAAATACACAGGGTAAGAATATAGGAATTTAAAAAATCCTCCCAGCTTTCATAAGTAATTTTAATAACTGAAGAGAAAATAATATTTAACAAGCAGCAAAATCTCATAAAATTATAAAAAACATGACAAAGATCATATTTTGCTCATTAGTGATGAAACTAGAAAATTATTATAATTAGTGTAAAGCAAAATGTAATGTATCACACATTGTTTAACTAGGGATTTGTAATGAATTCACAAATAAATGAAAATGCTTTATATTCAATATTCAGGAAAATCATTTGAACTTCCATCAGACAACCTTTGAAATTATTTCAACAAGAATTATTTGCATCATTACCATTTCTCTATAACTTAAATAAATCGTAAAATAGCTTCATATAATGAAAAACAAAATCTCCATAGTAGGCTAGACTCTATAACCCTCTGGGAGTGCTCTGGAATGCACATAAATTATGCTACATTTTATAACATAAAACTGAATGTTGCACTTCAAAGTCTTTCCTGAAAAAAGGTAAATTTATGTTTCAGCTATGGCACAAAAAAAGTATAAATGACTCTTGAATAAAACACATTTTCATGAAAGGAAAATAATTTTCTCATTTACCTGTTTGCAAGCAAAAACCACAAACTATTTGATTCCATTGTAGTCCTGAACAAACACAGGATGCTCAAAGTGGAAGACTGAAGAGTTTAATCAAGATTACTTATCAAGTAAAATGCCCAGAGTTAAAAGAAATCAAGAAGGGATAAGGAAGGAGGTAGTAATAATAGGTAACCATTACCACAACCAAGCCTGAAAGAGGGAGCTGAAGGTGGCAATGAGAATCCAAAACCGGAGCTGTCATAACATCTGCCTGAAAGAGCTACTGCCTTAGTTAAAGTAATCCAAGCCATAGGAGGGAGCCAGGCAAACAGATCCCCTGGTATGCTCCCCTTTCTTCTCTGGCCTTTAACCTCCAACTACCCTGCACATAGCCCAGAAGGAAGGTCACTGGTTGAAACTGGATGTGGAAGACAGCCATGCAGAGTGGAGAAGAAGGAGAGGAGATCAGGAGGATGAAAGGGGTACAGGATCATGAGCACTCCTGGCTGGAGTCAGGTGGCAAAAAAAAAAGAAAAGAAAAGAAAGAAAGAAAGAAAAAGAAAAAACAAAGAAGCAAATAAAGAGTCTTTTAACTCATCATTTAATTATTTACTGAATATCTCTATGAGTCAGGCACTGAATCAAATTTTTGCAATAAGAAGTGAACAAGTTAAAAACAGCCTTGTTTCTCGGTAGCTTATTTAAGAGTTTCCAAGTAGAAAGGGAGGATTAATTGGTGTACCAAGTTTGCAGAATAGAACAATAGATTTTGTAAAAGTTTTCTAATACTTCTTACTGGAGGAGAGGAAACTGTTATTATCAGGCAGGCTCCCTATGCCTAGATGTCCTCCAGCAAAGGTCTAGTGGCCACCTGTCAGAAGCTGCTGTAAATGGATTTTCAGCATCCTTGCTACAAGAAGCTGAATTAGACACCTGCAAAGGCTTATTAAAAGCTCTTTTTATAAAGCAGAAAAAAAATGTGGTTTGTTTCTTCTCTTCCAGCATACATGGAAGAAAATAGCTTATATTCTTAAAATGTTTTGGGGCTTGCCTGAAAACTCTATATATTGCTCATCACATTTGCTATCAAGAATATTGTTTTTACAAATTAATTCACACCTTTTTGAATTCATCATGAACACTGTAAAGAAAGAAACAGAATGAATGTGACTGAATTTATCCTGCTGGGACTGACACAGAATCCTCAGATGCAGAAGACCCTATTTTTGGTGTTACTTAGCACCTACATTGTCACTGTCACAGGCAGCCTGCTCATTGTGGTTACTGTCCTCTGCAGCCAGAACTTGCACTCCTCTATGTATTTCTTCCTGGCTTTCCTATCTTTGATAGATGCATGCTATTCCTCTTCCATAATTCCTAAAATTCTAGCTGATTTGTTTTTGGAGAGCAAAGCCATCTCATCCAATGGCTGCATGCTGCAGCTTTTTCTTGAACATTTCCTAGGAGGTTCAGAGATTGTCCTTCTTGTGGTCATGGCCTATGACCGCTACGTGGCCATCTGTAGACCTCTGTACTACATGACGCTGATGAGCCACCACATGTGCTGCCTCCTGGTGGGGCTGTGTTGGGCGGCGGGTTTTCTCCACTCTTTGGGGCAGATTCTAGTTATTATCTGGCTCCCATTCTGTGACGCCAACACCCTGGATCATTTCATGTGTGACATTTTCCCCCTGATACAGCTTGCCTGCACAGACACCTTCCTCCTTAGTCTCTTGGTTGCTGCCAATGGAGGGGTAACCTCCATGATCAGTTTTGTAATGTTGTTGGTATCCTATGTGGTCATCCTGTGCTCCTTGAGGACTCACAGCTCTGTGGGGAGGAAAATGGCCCTCTCTACCTGTGGCTCCCACATCACAGTTGTTGTCTTGTTCTTTGTGCCCTGTATCTTTATGTATCTGCGCCCAGTAGCTACGTTTTCCAGGGATAAAGCAGTAACTGTATTTTATACCCTTGTGACTCCCATGTTAAACCCCGTTATCTGCACAGCAAGGAATGCAGATGTAAAAAATGCCATCAGAATGTTACTAAACAGGAAGGCGATTTCAGACAATAAATGATCAATTGGATTTTTTTTTCTGTCATGATCTTTGTAATTTTATATTTTATCACAGTAGTCCAACTTATCATCCACGGGGGAAATATTCCAAGACCCTAAGTGGGTGCCTGAAACCAAGGGTATTACTAAACCCTATAAATATTATGTGTTTTTTCCTAAACATACATATTGATAATAAACTTCAATTTATAAGTTCAGTCTCAGATTAACAACAGATAACAAAATAAAATGTAATGGTATTTTGCAGTTCGGGACCATTGTTCAGTAAAAGAAGGGCTATTTGAACACTAGCACACTAGTACCTCTCACAACAGTCCTTCTTGTAACCTAGATACCTACTAAATGACTAACGGGGTGGGTACTGCATACAATGTGGATGTGCTGGAAAGGGATGATTCATGTCCCAGGTCAGACTGGATGGGGTGATGTGAGATTTTTTCATATTACTAAGAAGGGCTTGCTATTTAAAATTTATGATTCATTCCTGAAATTTGCCATTTAATATTTTCAGAACATTGTTTACCATAGCATAAATAAGTGAAAGTTATTAACTAATTAAAGACTTTCTCACAACTATCAATTTACTTTCAAGGCACTTTTGCAGGGTAGGTATTATTTTGATTATTCCTGTTTTATAGATGAATAAAAATGAAGCTCAAGAAGGTCCAATTAGGTGTTCCATATCAGACACAGTGCTTGTGTTCATATCTGCATTCTTCTAGATTCAAATTCAATATTCTTTCAAACATTTATAAGTACATTAGGAAAAGGGCAGTGTTTACATCAGAACCTCTCTAATTTTGTGTGAGTTAAAATTTTTTTTGTTATAATTGCAGAGTTGCATAATGTGTTGACTATATAAGCAATAGATACTCAGAAAACCATACTACTTATTGGTATCTAAGGCAATATGAAATACAGTGTAGAACAAAGTCACCAGACAACTAACCTTGGCACACACTTGGTATATCTGATTTTAAAATTATATTTTTATTTCTTGTTCTGTTGAGAAAATAATGTCAGCAATTATAAAATTAAATTGTTTGTAAACCTATGTGAAGATTTTATAATGTCCTCATATGGTTGCAAAAAACTTATAAAACTGAAACCTATTGTTCTACTGTACAGAGAAAAGTTAAATAAATCATACAACACATAAATTCACCTCAAGTTCAAATACTCTCACTATATATCCTGTGGTATTTTACATGTTCAGAATTCCCTTGGGCTATATTTAATTATGCTTTGACATATAAAATATTTTAACATACATATTTTTAACTTAGAAGTGTCAATTTGTTAAATTAAAAACCAATGGTAATGAAATTCAATTTTTTTTCAAAAGTGCATGATGAAATATATTCACAAAACTATTTTACTGCTAAAAACTTGTTTTTATATTTAGTTCCTTGAACTGGAATCCCCTTTGAAAACTACTTCAGAGGTGTCTTATAATTATTTAGAAATAAATCTCCATAGTTGACCAAAGAAAACATCTTTCAGCTTAGCAACTCAACTCACAATCTTTTTTTTGTGAATAACTTTTGGGTTTTTTAAAAAAATTCAATCTGTTACCACAATACAGATATGAATGTCATTATTATAGGTGTGCCACTTTTGATAGATTTTGGTAGATTCAGTCTCCCACTTCACAGCTACCACATTTTGTTGAAGAAATCAGAGGACTCTGTGATGTCACAATATTTAGTAAGCATATCATGATTGCAGAAACATTCTTAAGAATAAGAACACAGGTTTCAGCATCAGGAAACCTGGGTTCTCTCTTACTGAGCCATTATCTCATCTGTGACCTTAAATAGCTCATCCTATTCCTGTAAGCAGTTTACTTAGGTGATTTAGAAGGTGTGTAAGTTCTGTAATTCTGCCCATGTTAATATGTTTATTACCTTGAATATTGTTTTGTTTTACTTCACTAGGAGAAGTTAAACTGGAAAGGTTTTGAGAGATTATATATAATAGATAAGTATATTTGACAATGTTTCTAAACTTTTTCATTTGTTGTTAACAGTATAGAAGTGTCCTCCTGGATGAAAGGGGTTTTGGATTGGACTAAGGCAATATGAGCCCTGTGAGTGTTCAGTTGCTTTGAGGAGTATCCCTCTGTCTATTAAAAGTCATGAACATGTCTGTAAGGCTGCTGCTTAGGCAGGTACCTGGTTTTTGTTGTCATAAACCTGTCAAACATCATGCTAAAACTTTGGCTTCTTACTGACTGAGATCTGAATCCATATTTAATTTCTCCCATTTTTAAATTCTGGTTTGCATTGTGTTTGAAATACCTGTGTTGCTGTCCCTCCAGTGTTCTGCCCATTCACTCCTTGGGCTTGTCTTCTGGAATCACACTTTCCCGACAGAACTCTGTCCTATATCCAATTCACATGGCTGTGCTCTGGGAAGCTCAGCTAGACACGAGTGGGGAATCCAAAACACTCTACACATCAGTCTTTTCAGTAGAGGATGGATGAACAGTTGATGGGTCATATGAATGAGTTTAATCTTCCATTTGGTTGGGCATGCTCATTCTCCAGTCTGACTTTGTGCTTTCATTCCAGAGCTGAAAGAGAAATGTGAGAAATGTTCACAGATGATGCTTCAGCAAAATACATATCCATTATAGTTATTTACATAGTTTCAAACTCTCATTCAATTTTTTTTGTCAACTATCACAAATGGAATAGCTGCTCTACTTCTCTTCACTTACTATAAGATTTTGAAAATTAAGAAAGAAAGCCCTTTATCTGCTTAACTTTGAAAGGGAAATAAATGTTTGTTTGGTTTTTTTGGGAGGGTTTTGTTTGTTTGTTTGTTTGCAGAATATATTTAGTTATATTTATGTTTTTCTCTATTCATTACTTTGGGGAATTTGTGTCTTCAAATTGGGATGATTTCCCACCATTCTACTCATGATGAAATATTCTTTAACCAAGAGTTATGCACGATGGATGCTATGGGAAGACAAAGATATGAGGATAAACATTGCAGAAATATTGAGAAGTAGAGGTGACCATCCAGCTCATAAATAGGTGAGATGCTGACACCAGGGAGGGATTACTAAAGGTTTTTGACAGAAATGTTTGGACAACTTGTATAGATAAAAATACATTGATATACATAATAAGTGTTGAGTAAATATTTGTGGAGTGAAAGTGTAATAGTTACTTGCAATTATTAAGGACAATATATGCATTTTTATTGATATGTGTGTGTTTAGGTCTAGGACCTTACCTATTGTATCTGACAGTGTCTTTCTATTCTCCACATTAAATTTCTATTTTAAGAACTTTGTAAATAAGGTTTTCTTTTTGCTTAATAGATCTTAATGAACTGAAATCTATTCAAAAGACTTTTTTCGTTCCAGTCTATTGGAAGTATAAATTTAATGAATGGGACTACATTACATTATATGTAGAACATCATTTTGAAGAATAAGCACTATTAATTAAACAATATTATAATTATCTTGAAAGCCAAATTACCTAATAACATACCCTAAATATACTAGAAATTGAACTGAAGTTCATGTTTCAGAAGTTTATGTCTTTCATAAAGTAGATGGTGTGGAGAAGCAGATTGGGAAGACAAGGGTACTTGTGTTCTTGGTTTATGACCAGGGAAGCATGTTTATCCTCATACATGGAAATGCAGGAAATGAGGGAATTCATCTTGCATTTATTCATCACCTCACAGGTGCCAGATGCTGAAGACACTGTGCCAGACTCTGTACTGAATACACCAAGGAAAAAGACAGCAGCATATTGCTATGGTAGGTGTCAGAGAAGGTGAATCTCCTGTGGTTTCTATATATTTCCTATCTGCCTGCTCTCTGTAGATATGTCCTGGCCAAGTCCTTTTACAGGTAAAGCTGTAAATTTTGGAAGAGGGAATAGCCTTTACTAGTGTGCAGCACTTTACAGCTTACAAATTACATCTCAGAGCTATAATTTGTGAATTCACATACGTAGGGGCTCAAAGGCAGAGACTGCTGGGATTACTTAGCAGGATGACATGGATTGGAAACAGGAGAACTGAGATCTCATGTGTAGAGCCTAGTGTTTTATCAGTAAATTACACAATAACTGTCAGCCACAGAGGGCTTTATAGGTGACAGGTAGTACTAGGTATCTGAGAAGAGGAGAGCATCATGGAGGAAAATGAAAAAGAATGACTGAGACAATCACTCAGGGGTGGGCAAGGACATGCTCCGCAGTAGCCATGACTGCCCCATCTCTGTGCTATGAACCTCAGCCTGCAACCCTCTCATGGCTAATTTGTTATCTTTATTTATCTTTTTTTGCAGGTAATTCAGTCCCCAGGAAGGTGCTACTTCCTCAAAGGATCAATTCATGCCTCCCAGTAATATGACTGGATTTGTTCTCTTGGGGCTCACACAGAACCCACACCTGCAGAGGCTCCTCTTCATGGTCTTTTTCATTTTTCTCTTTACCGTGCTGGCCAATCTGTTCGTCGCCATCACCATCTCCCTCAGCCCCAGGCTTTCAGCTCCTATGTACTTCTTCCTCACTTACCTGTCCTTCATAGATGCCTCCTACACCTCTGTCACCACCCCCAAAATGATCATCGACCTGCTCTACCAGAGGAGAGCTATCACTTTGGGTGGCTGTCTGACTCAGCTTTTTGTGGAGCACTTCCTGGGAGGCTCAGAGATCATCCTCCTCATCATCATGGCCTATGACCGCTACGTGGCCATCTGCAAGCCCTTGTACTACATGACCATCATGAGGCAGGGACTCTGCTGCCTCCTAGTGGTGGTAGCCTGGATTGGAGGGATCCTACATGCCACTGAGCAAATTCTCTTCATGATCAGCTTGCCCTTTGGTGGTCCCAATGTCATTGACCACTTCATGTGCCATCTCTTCCCATTATTGAAACTGGCCTGCAGAGACACCTACCTGCTTGGAATGGTGGTGGCAGCCAACAGTGGAGCCATGTGCTTGCTCATTTCCTCCATGCTACTCGTCT